GTATTATTGTAACCAACAAGACAAATTAAATAATATCTCTTGATCTACTAATGATATCAGGATGATTTAAGTTTCAAAATGTAGCTTTTAAAGCCGAGAATCAGAAAATATGATTTGGTCATTTTGACCAAATTTGACTTAATCCTCATTTCGATGTGATGGGTCAACAAGCTGAGATTTAGAATTGGTCCAAGTGTAATGTGAAACTGTTTTAATTTACATTGGTTTTGGTTATAAAAAATAATTTGTCTATGATCTTTAGGGTCACCAGCATTGATGAAGGTTTAATATTGGCTATGTTTTCACTTTTTTTTTTTCCTCGCAATCCGACAAGAAGAGGAAAAGTTTAGTCACTCAGTGGAGGTGTCTGGGAGGCTTCAGAAGAACAAAACATTGGCTCTTTATACAGTTGGTAGGATGGGTATTAAAAGCTCATTGTGGATCGAACTCTGTTAAATCCATCCAATTTTAATTACAGAAGATTGTTGTTACTCAATGCAGCATTCAGTTCCCTGATCAAATGACTTTCAGTTTGTGTCATTTCCCAAAGCTACACTGAGATTAGCTGCAGCCTCTCACCTGGTTAATCCAACAGGTCTRATCAGTGTCTGTTTCAAAAGGAGAGGGGGGCCTTCCACTAATTACGTTACATTACCAATCCACTTGTGTCTCTCCCCATCAACGCTCTCCCAGCTGAAAACACAGAGATGTGGCATGAAATAGAAAATGTAAGTTGTTTACTGTCATTGGACAGGTTTCATTTTGTTTGTGCAGGAGCAGAACCCTCTACAGATGAACAAAGGGGATCTGCAGTGAGCCTGACATTCCCATTTAGCTGTAGCTGCCCTCCAGTGGGTTGCCCATCCATTTCAATTGATTCCACCTTTTTTTCATTTTGTCCGTAGTGTGTGGTAGACTGGCTTGGTGCATGCAAGGCTCACCTCAGTGGGGAAAGCCGGGTTACAATTAAAGTGAACACACACAAGGACAAATCCAAAGTTTTTCCTCTTTTTGCTTTTTGTAAACACATCTCTATTTGAAAAAGAATTGATTGAAAACAGGGCTTTTTTGTCTGGGTTTGCTTGTGATTGTGTGTTTGTTCTGGTGACCCCTT